TGAATTATGAGCCAGCATTAGGAGTTTTTTCACTGTCTGCTCTTCTTCCTCATTTAAACTGCTGGCTCGTGTAAACTGAGTGTGAGTGTATTACTTGAAATAAGCGAGTAGTCGTCTGAAGATCACCACATGTGAGTGTATTACTTGAAACAAGCGAGTAGTCGCCTATAATTATGTAAACGACTTCTTCCGATGTTCGGCTATGCCGATGCATTTCTTAAATCCTATGTACCAAGAGGGAGTTCTAAGGCGTTTGCCTATATTTCCTATCATAAATTTGACTTGATTTGACTTGTAATTCGCATGTGACCGAAGCGAACTCTTCGTTTAATCAAAACGTGAATAATTTGTCCATACAAAAGACTGACTAGACTTCTGTTAAGTTAAGATGTGGCTTATGGAAATCTCGTCGAAGATAATAGAAACGCTATAATATGAAGGAAGCGAAAAATTAGCGAAAACTTTGGAATAACGAGGAAGCGAGGAAAAGCAGATTTAAACGGTCAATTCAACCTACCAATTAGTTTAGACCCAGAATGATATCCATCCCTGATTTCAACATACTCTTTGGTGCAATTTTGAACATTGTTTGCAGTAAAGAGTGGACCCTGAATGTTATTCTGTAAAGGATCATCAGGTGGGAGCAGGTTCAAGTACGTGAAATCTAGATATATATGTTCCCCTCTGGCCGCTACGATTCGCCACTGGCAGAAACTTGGATGTGAAGTGGTAGACGCGAGGCTCGATGTCAGTGTCTGGACTTGGGAAGGAAGCTGGTTTTTAGAGGAAATTCTTTCGGCTGGTTCAGCACCCATTGAGAAATCCGTTTCCCGCGACTGACTTGGGTTAATTTGTCGCGATGAGACCTCCAATTCAGGTTGTATCTTGCTTGATTCTGCTGCGGTATTGAGTGACATCGCCTGTGGGAGGGCAATAGTGCCAAAAACTGCCAACAGTGTCCGTCCACATGCTAGAAAGCAAGTAGGATACTTCTCTTTATATAACCGAGCGAGGTACTTTACAATAAAAAATGCAAAGCGACGATAGGCAAGAGTTGTGCATCTTTGATCGGACGGTCACGCAGGATGGACATCAATTTCTTATGAGGGTAACTGTCACCTACCGAATCTGACGTTTCAAAAATCTTTTATAGCTAGCTGATGATGGCGTGCATATAAGAAATAACTGTTTCGGACTCGGTTTACTGCCTCGTTCATGGAAGAAAGGTAGGAACCATTGACTGAATGGGAAAAGCACATCCGTTATCTAGACAGTTAAGGGCCCATCCAGCATCATCAGTGCATCTTTTCAAATGCAAAGGCTAATTATCAGTATATGGAAATGTTACAAACCAATCGCAGTTTTGAGCCTCCAATTTTGAATACCAGACTAGGGTATATCTGGCCAATAACGTCCAATAAACCAGCAATCGCCATTCCATTTTCTCTTGACTTTGTCGGGAATAAAGTCTTGTCTATAAATACTCAGGTATATATCTTTCGTCTTTCCAATATGGCTGCCTACGTAAACCCATATTTTCAATTAATTTCACCACCTGCGACACACGGTAACATTCCTACTTCTCGTTATAGGAGTTTTTCTGCTTTTGAAACGTCGGAAGAAAACAACTATGGTCATAGAAATCGCCCCGTCTCAGTTACGCCCGGAGATGAGCATCATGGCTTCTGTTTGCAATATCTATATGCAATTTAAGAAAGAACATGTAAAATCTCACCATCTCATCACCACATCACTCGGAAATAGTGAAGCGAAACTAAAACCCCTGACATCTGCAACCTCTTTGCAATATTCTCCGCCTGAATCTCGGATCGACAACTACAAATGCAGCGCTCTGCAGTCACATTGAATTGCCTTTTACCTTTCCCTCAAAAAGAGGGAGCGTACTTATTGCCTCTTCCCTCCTCCTCCTCCTCCTCCTCCTCCTCCTCCTCAAAACCAACCATTATTTCCGGGTTGTGGTTTTACCCGTTCCATGTATCTTGACCAAAACGGCTGGTGCTTTACCTGGGAATAGGAAAGGGGAGCGAAATACGAATTTTCCCGCCGCGAACCAACTTTCGGGCATCAATATGGCTCCCTATCATTGGCGAGACTGATTTCTTTTTATGCTTAAACTAAACCTATGTTTCGCTATTGTACTTGACCATTGATCAGAGACAGCTTAGCGGTTCAAGTGATAGCTAGTTGATATCAGTGTTATCCTTTCCAAATTATTTTGTCCATTTTCTACTCTAACTGAGATAAATCTTTGCATTAATAGGCCATATATGATTGCTGATTGTTCTACAAGTGCTAATGTTAATTGGGTTTTAATTGGGGCTTTGTCTGATGTAAGCTGCTTTAAATAGATGGTTGCCTCTATGTTTTGCATGACCAATATATGTGCATATTACTACTAATTAAGTACATTAACAAAAAAGGCCATTTTAGGCGTGATTTATACGTGTGTATAATATTACATCGACTCTAAGGCCGTTGTTTTGCAATAAAAGATTATGACGGTACGACATGTAGAACATGTTAAATCGTCACATGGTTTTTAGTAGCTGAACCACTAAGTGTCGTATTTATCGATTCAGTCTTGAATTATGCTTCGATATACTTGTATCAAGCAATTTTAATGTAGATTGTACATCTTAGCGAGATGCTGAGTGGCCTTAGGGATTTCGCTCATGGCACGAAGACTGCAGCTCTCATTGAAATTCTTTAAGGCGCGTGTTTCCACAACTCTTTGGTTTAACGTATCTGTAAACCAGGAAATATTTCTAGGTCGCATCTTATGCTTCTAAGGTGGGAATTTATCTTAATCTTTAAAACCTCTGTCGTAGCTGCAGCTTTGGCATAAGACAGTTCGCAATACGATAATAAGATATTGAAAGGTCAGGAAAATTCAAATAAATGTAAAAATATGACAGAAGTATGTGTTCATTTGATATATTAGACATTAATCGCTCGTATAATTGTGCACTTTCGCCAGTCATGCCACAATATGCTTTGATTTAATTCCTAATATTGATTGAATGTCATGGAACTTCTCTAGGCAGTTTCTAAACGACTAGAACTTGTGTGGGTTTCAATGCAGGTTGAGGACCGCGGGTTCGGCACTATGTCATCCTGCGTATAAAATCCAGCTATAATTCATATTTGCGATGATAAGCTGCTGCATATGAAATATCAGTTCACATTTTTCAAGGACAACGAATCTAAGAGTTGAAAGCTAACTTTAATGATATAAATACCGATTTTTACTTTAAGAAAGAAATGCAACTTACAATGACATTTGTAGAGGAGGTTCGTCTGCCTAATGTCACTCGGACTGAGTTTACCTTGCCAACCCATTGTTGAACCTGGACAGCATGGTTTACGCCGCATCACTTCAGTCTTGTTAGGCATGACAAAAGCATCAGCTGTGTAGTGCATAACTGAATTGAAGTCATAGGGCTCTCCCAACGAATCTACTTGCGCCACATCCTTCATCTCGAACTGGTCACGCTTGAAAGGAATGATGTTCTCTTCGATAATCTCCACGTACTCTATTATTAAGTTAAAGGGAGAATCTCATAGTATTATTACTAAAGAGACGTGCAATAGGGCTCAACAGTGTGTACAGTTTCACCGCTTTAAAAACCTCTTTTCTGTCTAGAATTACTTACTGCATAAATCTCCCTCTCCCCTATTTCAGAGAGAAAGATGGAAACACACAACTGAAATAAAAAGAATATGCATTCTTCTTCATTGTCTAAGAATGTCTGCTGGCTAATTGTAATGTTCGAAAATTAATAATTTAACAGATGCTTTGTGAACTTACTATCGCGATCGGGTCGAGACTGTTCATGATAAAATCCCAAAGCATGTCCGAGTTCATGCATGACTATGCCAACTTCAGCGCAGTTTGGTCCGATGGAAACCATTTGCGGCTGATCCTGTGTTAGACGACCGACGTAAGAACAGCACCTGAATTTAATTAAAATTGTATGAGATCATGCACTTTTTTCTGAATTTAGAGGTAACTCAATTTGCACTGATCAAACTTTTCTATTATACAGGCTCTTGGAGGTGTTAACCTTCCTAGAAAGTAGATGTAAAGTAAATTGATTTTAACAAAACCGCCTGCTTGATTGGCACCTATCTTCAGATCGGGTTGCGCTATCATGCAGAGCCTATTTTTTATATCTTCTTTTACCATGTCGCGCTTTAAAGAGGGCTACAATGAAAGGCAGCAAAGAACACTTACATTCCAAAACAACTGAAGCACATCGGGAATTAACATACAACAATAACTTCATGTGATTTATATTAATCGCTACCAAAATTCCAGTCAATAATTATGATTAGATGAAAGATATGTATCTAGATAGTTTGTTTGAATAAAATTGCATTCAATACGCACACAAACATTAATTGCTTATGTCAACATTGTATGTGTTCAGTTTGACTTTTTAGAGAAACGCTGGATATCAAATTTGTTTCGAGCAGAATGATATATTTTTACTTGGTGCTTTCCAGATTAGAAATTTACCGATTTAACCTTTTCACCATAAGTTTGTACCCAGAATTGTTTTGCAGATACACGGAGCATCCGTAGTGAAATCATAAAATCACGATTGACGTTGAAAAATATAAACGCTTACTTTAAGATCTAAAAACGTGCATTTAAAATAATTGAACAGGTTTTTTGACTCTGGAGATCGCAATATAATTTACCTTTATGAGTGAATGCAGGTGTACCACCGATCTAGTCAAGGAGCAATTAAGTTCCGCTTTGCCAAGGAACTCGCAACGCAAACCCTCATGACCGTCACAAAGTGACTAAGTTGATATGATGAAGTTGATCCGACAAGGCAAAGGGAGACCGGAATGGCCATTTCTGGCTTATTAATTGTTCCTTGACTAGATCGGTGAAGCACCTGCATTAATTCATCATATTCCCGATCTTAACCGAGAAGACAGGGGACCCGTGAACTAGAAGCACTGTCTCGAACATAATGACCGAAGGTCCCCGTTCAAATCTCGGGGGTACCAACCCTCGAGATTGGGTATGACTGGCTGATGATGGTTAATAGGCCAGAAATGTCCATTCCGGTCTTCCTTTGCTTTGTCGGATCCACTTCATATACACTTATATTTAAAACATGAGCAATAAGGTAAAAGAGGAATTTTGATGGAGCATTTTTATCCTGAACGGTAGGCTATTTATATGGCTAAACTAATGCGGTGTGGTACACATATGTCCTGAAGAAAAAAGCGTGTTACTTGCATAGAAAATGACGACGATCGTGTACTTGTTTTGAAAATGAAATTTATGTATCTGAATTCAGTCTTGTAGGTTTACGGTCAATGCTTATTTAGACTACTAACCTAGAATATATGTAAGAATTAAAATTCACTCACCCACACCAGGCACGTGTAAGGATAATATAAGCTTGATGATGGGATTCACGCTCAACGAATTTGAGACAGGTGTCGTTTTCCCACATCCACATTGCTGTCAGAATGGTTGCTTTTTCAGAACCTTATTGAAGTAAAAACATTTTTGTTTGGATTGCGCGATTTTTTACCTATGCAATTAACGGCAAATGCATATCGTATAAAATAATACAAGGAGGTATCTTCATACAAGCTTTTGGATGTGATTACGAAACAAAAGGACTAGTTACTACTTAATACTGGTTGCTGAAAGTGACTGTCGCATAAACCCGTTTCCGCAGAAATGATTAGAAGTACTCGTTTTTCTTAGCCCATGCGTGCTGTTTGATACCAGTGTTTTCCTGTATCCCATTCTAATAATGTTATGAGCATTCCCATAATAGGTAGGTGTTTTAGCGATAAAGGCAGCAACCTCGCCATTTTCCTGTCCGGCTTTGGTTTACGCTAAATAATAGCAGTAATTAATGTATGTTGCATCGCATCTCTGAGATTTTCTGGCATACAAGAATTGAGCCACCCTCATTGTTAGCAAACTTTTTATGTATTCCGCTGAATTATACTTTAACACTAACCACCAAAAGCACTGGTATCGTTGAGGACATGTCCACTATCGATTTCTCTCTTTTTGGGAACACTCTTTCCGTATTCTTCTGGAGAAATCGTATCCGGCATTGCCGTTCTTAAACATTGTATGCTCTAACGAAATGGCGTTAATACTTTAAGGAAGCCATAGAAGCTTGCAAGAACAATCCCTTAAGGGTTTAAAAATGGTTTACGTCAAGTCATGGAGTGCGACCGTGAGTACTAGCATCACTTGTCAACAGGTCTATAACTAGCATGCAGCTGAAAATCATATCTTCGAAATACCGCTAATCTCATCTTATTAGACAGAACGTTAACCTGCACGTAAATATGAGCCTTCAGTATACCTTTTTTATATTCAGGTCTGCCTGCGAAGAGATATAATATAAAACCTCAGGGAGGATGTACCGTCGAAATGAAAACAAATTCCTAAATAATTACCTTCAATGGACCAGCAACTATTAAGTCTAAGTTTATGAAAAGAAGGATGCATACCACTTATGGGACATTATTCTATATTTATTATTACAATTTCTTTTGCAGCGTCAGTCTTGATCGTGATAAAACATGTATTTTAAACTACCTAATAGTTTAGGGCTTACGCTCCCATTTTAAGGCCCAAATTTATCGACATTTAAAAAAAAACATATTTTTATCACAATCTAAACTGTCAGTACAAACCTTTTTTCTCTGAAAAAGTTGATAATGTTAAGGAAGCGAATGCAGTCTGCTGTTACAGGAAGGCATATATTCTGTTTGCCGAAGATTCGACGGAAAAGGGAGGCGCAGTCATTGGGAAAAAGGGTAATGATCTCGCTCGTCTGCAAGAGCAATCCCTTTTGAGATCTCAACACAGAAAGCTACAGATCTAATCAAAATCCCCCTTAGGAACTACGGCCAATTCGATACTAAGAACTACTAAAAGGTAAAGGGAAACCCAATAGCCATACCACTATTAGCGACTACTCAACGAACTGATATTGCTACGACTGAACGAAGAGGTTTTCGTTGCCCCAAACCAGTATGGCGCTTCACCACTTACCTGAAATAATTGTCCTAACAAAGAAGTATGAAGTAGAGCGTCTTCATCAGAAGCTGAATAATATATACCTGGCCATACAGTTCACTCTTGAAGAGGCATTTGGGAGCCCCTTGCCGTTTCTAAACTAGATGATTCATAAACTGAGCGATGATAAAATCGCGAAAAGCGCACACAGGAGGATTTCCAATCCGGATATTATCATAATTTATGGCATTAGACGTCAATATGCATTTACCTAACTCGCAAGACAACGAGCTCATGGCTCAATGGCTAGGGCGTTT